GGTTCTTCGGCCGACAAGGATTGTCTCACCAACAGTGCTGGCACCTGTCTATGAGGCGATGCTGCGGTGAGAGACGTGAGAGTCGTAAGCTGCTTCGGCGAAGAAGAATGGCCGTGGACAATTTGTGATTGTGTGCCTTGTCAGATGGTGAGCCAATGGCGATGGGAACCGCTGCAGATAGGAAAGCCACCCAGCAGTGGACTCAGCCAGCAGACTGTCACATGTCAATGCCAGGCGTGCGTTGTGGTATACCTGGTATATGTGGTATAGTTGTGGAATGCCGTTCGCACATGCAAAGGCCCAGATGCAAAGAGCAGCGATGATCAGAAAACACTGCTTGATGGTGTTGTGCCCAGGCAGCGAGAAGTAGTTCCGTAACGTTACATTCCCATAGTTCCTTTCCGACCGAACGAGACGTGAAGTGTTATGAGGATGTAGCAAATCTAACTGAGGCATGCTTGGAGAGCTGGGCCTATACCATCGGCGATGATCTGCTGACTCATGTGAGCGAGACAGCACAGGGAATCATCGAGCAGGAGCGCATCCACAAAGCCCTTGGATACGTGTGCCTCTCGACTGCTGTACACCTGATGGGGAGTAGCTGAGCCGTTTTGTATCGTTGGAATGATGACACTGTGAAAGGCCGTGTGCTTATGTGTGTTCGCGCCCGCTTTCAAGGTTGTTGTCTGGGGGGTCGGGGGGGCGGCTATTTGACGCGCTTGCACACAGATTTTTCCTTCCGCATGCACCGATGCTTTTCACCCCTGCAGATGACCTGTGGGCTTCTCATCTACGTTGATTTATTCGCGATCTGTGTGAGTTCCGGCCCCTGGCTTTTGTTTACAAGTTTACATCCTCCTGTGCGATGCGGCTCGGCAAGCAGCCTCTCGTTATCTCGGCTTGGCTTGGACTCAGCCGATGGAAGCTTGTGTTCCACAGTCGCGGTGGCTTCACTCGGCAAGACCAAGATTCTTTCTCATTCGCTTTGGACGCGCAGCTTTTCAGTTTCGTGTGCAGAACTTTTGAGCAATGTGCTCACCGGCAAGCAGAAAGTCAGTGAAGAAAACAACAGAGATACTTGAAGATGTGGATTGCGAGAACCTACATCTTCTGAAAAGTGCTGCTGTCCCTGACAGTTTTGCTCACGCTTGAGCCTTCGTACGTCAAATCGGTTAAGATGCGCCGTGAAAAAAAGCACTTTCTGCCCAGACCGTTTTCTGCAGCTCTCAGTCGCTTCTCTCATGCAAGTCTTCGAACCTGAAATGCACGTGTACTTCAGCAGACCAAGGCGAGGGCACGTTTTCGGCCCGAGTCCCCGTTGGACAAAGCGCATTGGCAGCGCCTATCAGCCACGCTGTGAAGGCATGTGCGGAATTGTCGTATGTAGACCAGCTGCGACAAGCTGAAAACTAGAGGGATCTTTACAAAAGTTGGTCTTGAACATAGCTTCAGCCCACGTGGAGACTGCATAGGGTTGTGCTCACGCCAGGCGGTGTCTGCCGAAGACGACCCGGTCGAAGACCCCATACTTGGGATGAAGTTCTCCTCCGATGCCACTGTCATCAAGAAAGACAGAACTTGCCAAGAGAAGCACGAACCGTGCTGTGTTTCTGCATTTGGAATTGAGGGTACTGTAGGCACGACTGCACGAAGATGCCCGAAGCGTGTTGTTTACGTAAGCTACAGGTTAGAGACTAGGATTGGATAAGCAACACAGGACTCTCAGCGTGGTTTCAAATGCTTCATGATTGAAGGGGGCAACTGAATGATAGGTTAAAGGTTCACCAGTTGTTTTGTTTTGAGCCGCTTCTGGTGGCCTCCATAGCATAGTGCTAGAGGAGGGTGCGTTGCCGATTACGGCAGTCAAGTGCTGGAGCCCCTATGCCAACAATTCAATGAAAGGTAAGCCGTGTTGCCACTGATCAGTTCGGAAATCAGTCGCCTTGTGCCGTCGAGTTGTTGTTCGTGGCGCCCTCATAAACTGAATTGCAGACCGCCATTGCGATTGACATTGGTGTTGGCCTGAACTGACGCACTTCTCCTGCCACTGAACCATCTGCTGGCTGTGACCTTGCCCTAAATGCTTAGGGCACACGCAAACTTGAGATCCTGGCGGGTGCAAGAACTGAGGTTTGGATTTCTCTGTGTGGCCCACTCCTATTCCTGTCGTTCGATCAGGCATGCTGCCCAGCTTCGGGTGAGGTATACATGGCTGGGTTTAGTCACTTGTTACATCCTTCGATGTTCCTCGGTCTTCCATTACCGATGCAGTGCGTGAAAGACATATACAGTCATATACATATATTCAAGAACATGCATGTGCTGTCCTTGCAGTTTCAAAATGCGTTAAAAGGCGCTTTACTAGAGTGCAAATTGTGCCCCGTCTGTCTCTGAGGTGACATGCCCCTTTGCGTTCATGTATGTGGGAGAGGTCCAGCTCAGCGACATCAATCCCGGTAGGGCATTGTGGCTTCGACCGCATTGAGCTCTTCTATCGTGCGCGGTTGCGTTAAGTACAGGTGTGCAGAGCTGTGGACTTTCAGATCGCGCTCTGAACCTTCCTTATTATTCCAGAGCCTCTCGAAGCTGCATGTGCGAATATGGGTAAATGAAAGGGTATAGCCGATCATGGCGCTCGATTGGACTTATATACTCAGAGTGTGACAGGTTCTCATTGGAAGCTTCGCCGCGTGTTGATGAGACTTCAAGGCATGCGAAGTGACATCCGGCCGAAGCTTTTTCTTCCCATCCCTAAACACAGAAAGGACTGTTCCATGTATGAAAATGCCACAACAGCCCTTTCTGTAGGTTTACATTTCTCTATGCAACGAGTTCATGTCACTTTGAAGGTTTGTAATACTCATGTGTCAACAAACAAAGGCATCAACACACCAACCCTTTTCATAACACTCTGGAACCCATAGCGGGAGTTTTTTCATCAGCAGGTTGAGCACATGTTGCGGATTCGTATTTCTTGCCAAGCGTTCCTCCGATGTACTACACTTCGGCCTCACAGTCTCAGTCAAGGTCAGAACGAATCAAGAGGTTCTAGGTGAATGTTGCATCGGGATTTCAGGGCTTGAACGGTGCCAAGCGTTCCTCGGGAATTACGTGTGCGTGGGCGGGCGGGTGAGAGAGTGTGAGTGCGTGCGTGCGTGGGTGGGTGGGAGTGTGGGTGTGGGTGTGGGTGTGGGTGTGGGTGTGGGTGTGGGTGTGGGTGTGGGTGTGGGTGTGGGTGTGGGTGTGGGTGTGGGTGTGGGTGTAGGTGTGTGTGTGTGTGTGTTTGCTTGCTTGCTTGCTTGCTTGCTTGCTTGCTTGCTTGCTTGCTTGCTTGCTTGCTTTGCTTGTCTGTCAAAATTGTATGTATGTATGTATGCATGTATGTTTGTATGTATGTATGTTGTTTTTGTTTGTTTGTTTGTTTGTTTGTTTGTTTGTTTGTTTGTTTGTTTGTTTGTTTGTTTGTTTGTTTGTTTGTTTGTTTGTTTGTTTGTGTGTGTGTGTGCGTGACAGGCCTGAGAATTCTGGGTGTCAGCGGTGAGATATCTTGCAGCTTCAATCGGCTTAGGCTATAGTCACGTTTGTGCATCGTTGAGCCGACAAAACATGGCAACTGTGCGCATTGGGCACGTGGCACTGGTGAGTTCGCTTTCGCTGTCGCTGCGCATGAGTTCCGACATTTGTGATGTTTCATGCAGGAGTTGCTTCGGAATTAGAGGCTAGATCGCCAGGCTCGAGCTGGTCTTATTGCTGCCGGATGGGCGATGGCACGTATGCTCGCTACAGAAGTCCCTTAGCCGCCCTAGTTCGCAGCAGACCTTCATGACTGCTTGACAGGTCACAGCTGAGACAGTGTTATCTGACCAGCTGTGAGTTGTAAGGCTAGTCCTGCAACTTACTGATGCGATGCTCGGCTCGAAATTAATCTAGAAGACCTGTTTGCTCTGGCTATGCGCTTCGCGTGTGACAACGTTGGATGCATATGTGGGTGTGGGTCATCGAGACATATTGTGACTTGAGCATGTCCCTTCAGTAACAGATGGGGGCCTCTGCTCCGCCCCGATGAACACTTCTTCCCATCTCCTTCATTCCTTTTTGCTCCTCCGGCCGAAGACCCCCCCCGCTCTACGACCCCTCGGACTCGACTGGAGGCTAGGCTAAAAGACTTCTTCATGTCAATGTGAATATTCAGTTGTTGGGTCCTCACCCACACCTGAATTCTCGACGTCGACGTCGGCAAGAAGATGAGTGTGACTCAGCATCTAGCATAGAGTCCTAGAATATGTCGTCCGACAGATGCGTCAACATCAGCAGCCGCTGGCAGCCAAAACATGCAGACGTAGACCCGAACCTGTGTTCGAGAGCTCCAGGCCGTGGCGGTCGAGCTTACCCTGTGCATAAGCCCAGTGAAGTGAATGTGAGGTGAATGTTCCCAGTGTGAGCTCCGGCGCATGATTCCGTCTTTGCTTCGTGGGAGTTGTTGTGCATGTATGTGGGCGTGGGTGAGGTAGGTCCCCCGACAGCAGCTCAGGAGCTATCTAAAGGATTGGATCGCCAGCTTCGCAGACTTGGCGCTCAAGAGAGGCGCCCGCATTACTTCCCAGACTCCGGTGCTGGTCGGGTTATGTTGCGCTGAAGGTTTTGTCGATCGCTTTTTGAAGGTGCCGGCGGATTTGGGGTCAACCCCTTGAAGCACATCTGAGCTGGGACCGCGGCTCCAAACATTGTTCCAACCCAGAATGGATCATTTCATGGATGCTGGTCATTCGTTGAACCTCTTCTTTGATTCACCATCTGCACTTACCCAGCTACATACACTCGTTGGATTAGCCGACGAATGAATTCATGTTTCACAATGCTCCAAAGGACTTGAGCAGCATTGAGACAGCATTGGACGTGAACGCCAAAGGAAGCATATGCATATGTGGAAGTTGCATGCAACAAACTGGAGCTTCTGGAGCCTTCACGCAGCAAGTGCTGACAGCAACTGCTTTTCACAGGCTCTGGTCCAGGCATTGGCGCCGCTGCTGGAGGAGGCGGCCAGGGCAAGCTTTGGTACCCTCCCGTTTTGCTGGGTTTGAATTGTTATGCTCTGCCCACACCCCTTCCCCCGCTTCTCCTTCCCGCAGACAGAGCAAAGCGAAGAAAATGTCACCTACCTCTGCTGTGTGGCTCCAGTTGGCCATGGCCAAACAGGCCGCATTCGTTTTCGATCAGGCGGTTGGATCTGACTGTTACTTCTTGTGTTGCCCCATTGCGCCTGCCCGTTGGCTAGTTTACTTCATTGCCTGGGAATATGACCACGCAACAAAACAAGAGTGCTGGACTGACTAGCTTGCATGAGACATGGCCATGGATTTCCATCATGTGCTGCCTCGATCAACGAAGCAGTCTCCCAGCTGATTCAGTTCCAGCAGTTGGTTTGAATGCAACAATGCCTGGTACCTTGAGGAAAGGGCATGTTTGGCAACGGAATGGTGGTTGAGATTTGAAGTGACGGTGAGGCTATAGAGGCTTTAGAGCGGTGTATCTTATCAAACCCTGTCAGCTGTTGCACGCTACCAGCCACGCATCTGCTGCGTGCAGCTCCAACTCATCTGCAGAATCTTGACATGCTGCTATATCTATATCTGGTAACAGGGTTCCGCATCGAATCTGTTCTTCAGTATCCTTCCCCGATGCAGCCAGTGCTGCGTTACGTGACTCTCCCGAAGTAGGCTCTGGGGAAGAGAACGTACGCCCACACCAAAGACGTAATTCTACCAGCCGCTCAATTTCAAGGCAAGTGCACTCGAAACTCTTCTTGCAGAGGCCTGCCTTCTTGGCCTTGCTGTTGAGCCTTGGTGCCGCTGCAATACTGGGAGCTCTACAGGTTTTATGGCGCACAGAGGCTTCGGCATTGAAAAGTTTCTTTTGAGACCTTGTTGGCCAGTAGTGCTGTGCAAGAAGATGCTTGGTTCTTATGTCGAAAGGTGCCGAGCGCATCTGACTATGGTCTGTTGTCTGAAGATACGCGGCTGGATCGTTTTTCCAAGCATTGCTTGGCGGACATGGCTCTTGCTGAAGAATTGAGTCCACACCCTGCAGACTGGACACTTCAAAGTGCCGTGGTCCTGGTAAGCCATGGAGAAGCCAGTGCCTCCCAAGGTTGGCCGATGGATCCCAAGCCGCCCTCAACGTGGGATTGCCGTCCGACCGATTTGCCTCGGCACTGGCATCTAAACCAGCAGCTCCATTTCCAAGCCGTTGCCCAGGATGGTCATTTGCTGGAAAGATCCTTTGAGCCTGATTTGCTGAATCCGGAAGTTGCAGCAGACGACGGTGAGCCATGGGCTGGCAGGAGTTGCGCGCCGAATCAGCTGACATCCGACGGCTTTAAACAAGCCGTGCGTGTAGGAAGACGCCTCGCCTGGCGGTATGGTGAGGCGCTCGCAGAGGCGGCGCTCGACGTGCTCAGTGTGGACACCAAGCGTTCCTTGGCGACGGCAGTTGGAATGTTGCTGCCTCTGCTCGCAGGGCCGACATCGTCTTTCGTCGTTGGGGAGGGCACCTCGTTGTTTGTCACTACGCTTGAAGGCTCCGAGACTCTTGTACACGTGGAGGGTGGGATGGAGTTTGCTCTACAGGACATGCAGTCTGGAGCTGATCTTTTGTCCAGATGGTGCAATCATGGCAGCTTGCCATGCTCTGCAGACAGCTGCATGACACCCAAGAGGGCAGCAGAGGTCATTGCTCAGGGCGAGCTGAACCTTTGCCGGGCACTGGTTTCTTCATCCATGCCAGCACTGCCATATCTTCAGAAAGCTGCGCAGAGCCAGCAACAGGGACGATTCTCAATCCTGAGCGTCTCGGGCATTGATCTCACTGCTAGCCTCGTCAAGCTCTTGGGCCAAGAAGCATGTGAAGAAGTGTTGATGGCACGGCCACCATGGTCTTCCATGTTGGTTTTCGTGCCTGGCAAGCTAGTCAACTTTCAATTCTTTTGTGTTTTTCGTGTGGGTCTATCTTCACAGCTATAAAAAAGTGTATATATATATATATATATATATACATATACACATACATATACATATACAAATGCATATACATATATATACACACACATATATATATATATATATGTTGTGGCCGTTGTTGTGGTGCCCAGGAGCGCTTTCGCACCAACCATTCGCAAGTACTTTGGCGTGTTTTGTGGAATGGCCTTGATATTACCCAGCGCCTGGCGGGATGTCGGCTGTCCGATGGATGCTCGGAAAAGACCTTCCTCAGCCAGCTCGGACGAGACGAGAAAAACCAAGTGTTCCTTGCCCCCCCCCCCCCCCCCCACATTTACCGAAAATCTGCATCTGCACATTCCCTGGTTTGGCGCCAGTTTGAAGAGCTCTAGTGCCCCATGCGGGTTCTCGCCGAAGTGCGCATCCTCCGGCTGTCGCAAACTCTTCATCTGGGTACTGCAGGGAATTATGCGAAGTTGGCAGTGGGTCAATGCGTGAGCTACGTAGTTCCACGATCCTAGCCTATCATGTCCCTTTGATCCCATGTTCGTCTCTTCTCACACCCCGACTCTTTCCATGGACATGGAGAGGCCAGTTGCGGGGTGCTCGACGTCGTATCATCTCTGCTGCGCGTCGCCGAGCCGACGGAACCAGTGAAGGACCTCTGAATTTTGAGCACTTTGTTGCACTTTCTTGGGCTTGGTATTGCTTGAGGTTGCTTGAGGTTGCTTGTGCCATCTTTTGGTCGAATACAGGACGACTTAAACATAAGACATGGCTGCCGATGCTTGTGGCTGTGCTTTTTGAGCGACAGGCGTTCTAAAGGCCTCGTGCCGAGCTAGAAGGGGACATCTTGCAGTTGCCTGGTGAAGCGATGCCGAATACCAAAAACGATACCTCCATGTTGAATGTGTGTCTCTGGCTACACTATAATTACCGAAGCCCGAAGCCGATACCCTTACACGTATGTCCGCTTTTGGTCCCTTGAATATCGCCACGCGCTACTTAGATTTGCAGAGACGCGTCAAACACCGCAAAGCTTGGCTCTGCGTGGGGCACTGCTGGAATTGACAAATGGTAACATGTGGTAGAATGGATCACTGACTGCGAAGAAAGCCACGGGGACACCATTTGTTCTCTCATCTGTAGGTGCATGTGGCCAACTCAGATCGGTGCTGAATCCGATACTACACTCGCCGTACCTATGATCCCATGATTGAATAGCTTTGGATGCTTGCTGGCGCTGCTGCCTCTTGGAGTGGAGCCAGCTTGGCCATCTGACTTATGCCGCCCAAAGGTCGAAGCACAAAGACTGCCAAGACATCGGTTGGAAAAGTCAGCCGCAAGTGGTGGCCCAAGAGGATGCGATACAAAGGTCAGATGCACGAGGCTTCAGCCGTCAAACAATTTCTGCGTGGGGTTATGTTGCCAGAGATCCATGCCCCAAATGTCATCAATGAGTACAAGCAGGCTGCGATTTCCAAGCGTGAACTGGCAGAACTTCTTCCAGAGGCCGTGCCACCGTGCCCACTAAAAGTAGGCTCGCATGTGCTAGAAGTCCCACTGGGCTTTGCATCTCCAGCCTGGAAATCCACGCCTGGTGAAAAAATAGCTGTGCTCAATGCGGGGTGCTACATCTCTGCAGCGGCATGGGCACCACCCGATGATGCAGCGGTCCTTGCCCTGGCAGCCAACAGCCGCACCAAGCCCTCTGTAGCGGCGGAAGGTCCAGTGCCGGGCACTGCTGCGATTCAATTCTGGCGTGTTGATATGAACAGCCAGGGAAAGTCTGCACAGCTACGACTCGGAATTGTGCATGATGCCGCCAGTGTGCGTTGCATGCAATGGCTTCCATCCAAGCGGACAAAAACAAGGTTGGGCTTGCTTCTCGCCACGCTCTCCACTGGGGAGCTTAATCTCTACAGCCTTGCAACGGCTGCCTTCCAAGACGAGCCGATCACTGCCACGCACAGCACGCGCACGCATTTATTTGCCAGATTCCGGGCTGCTTGGCGAGCCAAGATGTCACCTCCCGGGGCGGAGCCCGCAAGCGCTTGGCAGAGACATGTGCAATGCGCAGCTGCGCGAGAGGACACCAGTGACCCAAGCAGTTGTGTCATCGCGGCCGGATGTGAGCGATCCGTGGTGCTGCTTTGGCGTCTGACTTCGGGATCACCACTAGTTGACGGACCTACAGATGTCCTGAGAACCTTACTCCTGGACGCTGAGACTGTGATGTCTGTGGCCTGGTGCCCATCACCAGACTTCGAACTGTTGGCAGCCGGCTTTGCGGCCGGATATGTTGTGCTCTGGAATTGCCAGGCTCCTAATGTTCCCTTGCGCTGCTTCGTCCCAATGGTCCGAACAGCTCACATCAACATCGACTGGGCCGACCAAGACAATTTATGCCTCCCAGCAGAGGGGTCATTCTACAACTTTTTTCACGGCCGTTCAGTCAGGCTGCGCCCAGACAAGACAAGGGGCGACTGTTTGCTGTCATGCTTTGGAGCTTTCCAGGCCCCTCTTGGTGTTATATCCATTTGGTCCGATGGCGTGGCTTCTTTTAGAGCAAGGCCTCTCATTCGGCCACGAACGCTACATGGCACCAAAAACGAAGAGGCAATCCTGCAGAGCTGGCGGATACGTGATGCAGACCTGACCGACGCCCCGTTCCCGGATGAGCCTGCTGGACCCCCACCAAGTGAAAGATCCGAAGGAGAGTGCAGAGCTTTTAGAGAGCAGATGAAACTTGGTGATAACAGCCGCATGTTTTGTAGTGAATGTTTTGTCGGTTCTCGCGCAGTCACGAAATGCACAGACTCCTTCATCATCGAGGGTCGCTTGTTGTAGAGTGAAATGCCTGCTTTACCCGCTCTTGTTTAAGCAAAGCATGTGTTGCTGTTGGGACCGAGGTTGAGGCTCGTCGACCAGAGCAGAATTTAAGCAACTCCTAGTGAAACAAGCCCATCCACCTCTTTGCAAGCTCCCCTTTGACAGTGCACAAAGCGCAAACCAAGGTTCAAGAGCTATCAGAACAATTTACTCAGCAGGTACCGCGCTTGGGAAACAGAGCGCTGCCAATTGGAGATCAAGCTGGCACAGGAGGGCGAGAACAATGACAAGAGCAACATGCCCTTGACATCCGCCAGAGCAAAGGTGCTCAAACTGCCAACCAATACCACACCCGAGGTCCTGCTACTCTGCCAAACTTATTACTTTCCGACTGCAGCTTGTGATCCTGGGCCGATAGTGATGTCGCGACAGTGTCGCAGCATCCTTCAGCATGTGAAGTTCCTGGCTCAACTTCCAAGGTTGGCCATCAGCAGTGCTGCTGGCGTCGAGACCTGGCAGCATCTGAACAGCTGGATGTTTTTGGGGCCACCTTGGTTGCAAAATGTCATGTGATGCACGCGATGCTCAGGTCAGCTTAACCTCCACCAAACAGCCGCGCCTTGAACACGAGCAAAATGGAGGTAGATGCAGCTCTCGCATGACATTGGAAGTTGCAAGGCCCTAAGATTCGAAATGTTCTGTTTAGAGCTGGGGGCACGGTAAACTCCAAGAACACATTACGTTTGGTTTTTGAGATGTTTCGCATGAAGGAGCTGCCAACACAGCTGCTTCTACCTGCTTCCCGAGCAGTGCGTCCAACCTCAGCGCACAAGGCGGGACGTCATGATATTTGAAACATCAATGTGGCTGCGTCGTGCACTTGCCATGTCACCTGGGTCGTGCAAGGCAGCGAAACCCGCGAGTGGGCGTGCAGAGGCCGCCTTTGCCCCAGACAGCCAAAGCATATGCATTTGATGCCACTTGGAATCTGACAAAGGCGTACCGCAAGCGTGGGGATGTTGAACGTGAGAGGGCCACCGAGTACCTTCTTGAACATGCAGAGGAGGCAGGGTGTAGCATTGCATCAATCATGGAATGATGACGTTGCGGCATGTAAAGGCCAAGCACCAGCAAGAAGCTGATGCTGCCCGGGCTCGTCGCCATCCTAGCGGTCCTAGCTTCCGCTTGTGCAAGCATGGCTGGCAAACAAATGTACTAGCCTGGCGCAGAGATGCAAGGAGCATAGCAACGCAAAAGCAGGGTGGCTCGACTCCCAAACAAGCACGTCTCCCAAAAGCGTGCTAAAGCCAAGTCCTCTTTTCGTTTTCGTTTTCTGCCAAAGGCCAAGGAACCTTGTAGACCTATGAGGCTCAGCATGACACCGAGGCGAAGCTGTAGACTTCCGACGATGGCCTCAGGGTGCCGCAAAGGAGGCATCCTCATCCCTAGCCGACATCATTCTTGGGTGTGGCAGCGTGTCGAATAACGTGTCCAGCGTGTTAAACGAAAGGATGGCCTTGGCGCACCACCCCCTGCTGCTGGCAGCCAAGCGAGTGGGATTTGGGAGAGCGGTGTTTGAACAGTGCAATCACGCACCTGCACTAACCATGTTGCGTATTCCGTTCACGCGGTTGGAGGGCTGCCTGTGTGAACGTTGAGGCAGAGGCCCTAAAGAAGCTTGAGACTTGCAACGACCGTGTGGTTGAACTGACACCCTTGGCGCCCTCAAGCTTTACCTGCCAGCAACGCAATCTTGCTATTGTGGCGAGTTTCTTGTTTTGTAACTGTATACGAATCGTTGACGACAGTTTGCAAATTCCTGTGCGTTTCCCGGCAGGAGTTGTGACGAGTCATGCGCACATCAGGTGTCACACAATACAGAGTCACAAAGCACCAGCCGGACCAAGCACCCACATCCACACACATCGAACGAACCATACGCGGAGATACAGCATAGTTAGAAAGTCTGTCAGCCATGGGGAACTCCTCACCCAGACCACCGCCCGAGCTGGAGTTCAGCACCTCCGAGCCGTCTTTCCAGGCTTGGAAATGCCACACATCGCTGTGATAGCTGCAAGACATTGTGAGACTGCAGGGTCTAAGAAGGAAGTGTATTGTCCAACCGACAGGATCTGCAGAAGCACTGCCAGAAACTCAAGCCCCAGCAGCTGTCGGCGCTGCGGGGGCTGCTGGGAACTGCTATAGGTGATGCTGTTGGCTTGCCCTTTGAGCCGCTGAACCGCAAGCAGGGGGCCGTAGTGTGGAGAGCCGCAGCACGCGGCCTGTTCGGCTGATGGCATGCAGACTGGATGCTGAATCGAAATAATCGTTTTCGTCATCCCCAAAGAACTCTACTCAGTTGGTCCTTTCCACTCATTCAAGGCTTCATTCGAGAGCAAAGAACCGAGCGAGATTCGCCGAGCAGCAAGGCAGCTCTGGTGACTCATCAGCACATTATCGTCTCCGAGCTGCATCGTCATTTCTGATGCCACCGGTTCTGTTGGGTGCACAAGGAGCGTCAGCTGCTGCGAACTTTTGGTCTGACGTGATGCCTTTCCTAAGCGTGGGCCTCTCACAAGCGGAAGGCCTGAAATCTTTCGCAGAGAGAGGGAGGGAGCGAGCGGGGAGGGAGGGAGGGAGGGGGTGACCCTTCCCGAAACCCCACAAAGGAAGAAAGAGAAGGGGAGAGAGAGAGAGAGAGAGACCCCGTTGTCGGGGGATTGGGGAGGTTTCGGCAGGTTCGAGAAGGACTTTGTGCAACAGGTTTTTCTTGATAGGGGTAGAAGGACCCGGCAAACTCCGCCGTTAACATTAGGCACTTGTATGGGGCACTTAGGATTTTTCAAAGGGGGGGGTCACGAGTCACGAGGCTCGACCGTGTTCGTTCCAACTCTCAGGATGCTTGCTGTGGTTGGGTGTGTGTGTGTGTGTGTGCGCGCGCAGGACGCGCACTGCGCAGGGGGCGACTCGCCCAGTCCCAGCCAAAGAAAAGAAAGAAATACAGAAAGACAGCAAGAGAAAAAGAGGGAAAGAGACAAAGGGAGAATGAGAAAGAGCAAAAGAGAGAAAGAGAGAAAGATAAAACAAAAAAACATGAAAGAGAGAAATAGAGAAAGAGATGATTAAGGAGAAGAAGAGATAAACAAAACAAGCACGAAAGAAAAAAAACACTAACAGACAGAAATAATTACATACCTATCGAGAAGCAACCAAAGAACGCAAGAGCGAAAGGACGAACGAAATAAGGGAATACAGAAAGAAAGAGAGACAAGGGAGGAGCGCCCCTGAGCCATCCTCTACTCGCTGCCGTTTGCGTCTTTCGGGATGGGTATTTCGGGATGGCCAGGGCGCATACCAAGCTGTGGGCGCTTTACTCGCTTGCAACCAGAGGGAGTGTACAAACACCACTGCAAAGCATGAAACATGGTATGGCAGAGTGATCTAGATTCAAGGGATCTAGGCTGTACATGGCTGAACCACGCAAACGTGGCGAAAGTAACTTGGTCACCGGTCTTGCACAGACCAGACTCGTGTAACAGGCACTCCTTGCGGCGGCCCCACCTGAGACCAAGCCTGCTAGAAGGAAGGAAGGAAGGAGGAAGGAAGGAAGGAAGGAAGGAAGGGTGGAATCAAGGAAGGGTGGGCACTGCGCAGAGTGAGAAACTCCTCTTGATAGCAAAAGCAAGGAAGGAAGACCGACTTGATCTGTTTTCAACTTGTCGCCAAAAGTTGCTAACAACGCGGTAGTCCAAACGTGCTGACGCGCGAAGAGAACACATGCGGAGAAGAAGAAGAAGAAGAAGAAGAAGAAGAAGAAGAAGAAGAAGAAGAAGAAGAAGAAGAAGAAGAAGAAGAAGAAGAGGAAGGCGATGCCGGGAACTTCTTTCTATGCCACGCCGAGTTCGGTGAGGAGGTGTGTTTCTAGAGGGGATGTTTTGCAAATGCCTTGCTCAGTCAGGGACACCTTTCTATCGCAGCTTCTCGGACGACACCGTGTGCACTGACCTGAAGATGCACGCCATTGCGAAGGCCAGATGGTAGTGCATGTACGATTGGCATCCGAAGTCCGAGCGAGTTAATGTGCCTGTCGCGTGCTTTCAGCCGTCAGCGGGCTACAGCAAATAAACGAGGCGCGCGCGCGCGTGGGTGTGTGTGTGTGTGTGTGTGTGTGTGTGTGTGTGTGTGTGTGTGTGTGTGTGGGTGTGGGTGTGTGTGTGTGTGTGAGTGTGTGTGTGTGTGTGTGTGTGTGTGTGTGTGTGTGTGTGTGGTGTAGTGGGTGGGTGGGTGGGTGCGGGCGGGCGGGCGGGCGGGCGGGTGGGTGCGGGCGGGCGGGCGGGCGGGCGGGCGCGCGCGCGCGTGCTGGAGTTTGGTGCAGGCCTGACTAGCAGCTTCAATGTCTGCACTTGCAGGTCGTCTGGACCTGTGGGGCGATGAAGGTACCAGAGAACAGACTCTTCGAGGAATCGGGGCTGAAAGAACGACTATGCAGGGTTGCTTTGGGGCTCGAGGGTTTCCCAGTGGGTAGTCGCTTAGCTTCAAGGACACAAGGTGCATCATGCTTCGTTTTCCGACATGAGTCCAGAAATCGGGGCTGGCACCAAACACATCCGCGGCTGCATCAATGTCCCTGCGTGCGGAGTGCTGCAGTTCTGACGGCGCTGCAGGCTCTGATGCAGGAGTTCCTGGCATGGGCCCATGGCAGCGATGGCCAATTGTTTCAAGGCTATGGAGGCTTTACGATGCTCGGTTGGACCTTATGTTGACAGCCAATCGATGCCGCTTCGAAAGCGGATGCCTCAGGTTGCGCGTCCGTTTTAACGACTTTTGCTTTCCTGACCCGACTGTCTTGGGAGTCTTGGTGCTTGGGGCAGTCCTTCTGAAGCACCGTCATAAGAAGCTTTGGAGCACAAGACAGCAGCGATAGTTGCCTGTTGCCTTGCTGGCTGCACAGCTAAGCAAGACCCCTGTTATTGCACTTGCCTGCCGGGTTTGCTTGATCATTTGGGGCTTCCGTCCAAGTATCGTTTGTGCTTTGTGGTCTGCTCCGACACTGTGCATGACTTTCTAGTGATGGTTAGTGCACTCGCGGCGTTTGATTTGTGCACTCGTGGCGTTTGATTTGAGCAGCTACCATCAGCTGCGCCGCAAGGAAAGACTTGCTAAAGCCGTCGCGTGGAAATCGCCTGGGCCACGCGCCGAAATTAAAGGAACTGTGAGAACGCTTCTTGCCATTGGTGCAAAGTTTGATCATGAGTTTGCATGGTGCCTGAAGGTCAAATGAGGATCGAGCTTTACCAGCCAGGCAACGATTACTGGCCCACAGACGCTGGGCTCAATGTACGAGAGAAGGTATGTGAAAGCATTAATCGGATCTAGAAGTGAGTGCAGAGGCTGAGGGTTGTTCTGCTTGTTCAGGAGGATTTCCTCAAGTTTGCGCAGGACCTGCACGGGTGATTGTGCATGAGCTGAGGCATTGGCTAATGGGGTCTCATACAGTCGCACATAGTAGCACACTTTGAATCTGGCCCAAGTAATTTCTAGATAGCAAGAAGCGCATGTGCACAAGAGCATGCCAGAGTCTGCCAGAGCGATCTTTGACAGCTTGTGCGAGGACCTTGCGCGTCCGTACGCAGCTTGACCAGCTCTTGAGAAAACAGTGGCCTGCAAAGTCTCCCTTGTACGGAGGAGCATTGCAGTGGCAACTATCCTGGTGGTTTCCCTTCGTTTGGGAACGGAGCGGTGATGAGCATGACGCCGCAGGCCTGGGACAGCGGACGGACAGTGGACATGGTGACAACTGCCCGGCAGAATCCCATGGGTTGCATGACGTGGTGAGTGGTGAGTGTAATCCCCAAGAAACATGATGCAGAACAATGCGTAGAGCAACTTGGAGGTGCTTTTCCAGATGGCTGGAGCTGGACGGGAACGTGCCACAAGCAGACAGCGTCAATGCATGTTGCAGAAGCTTTTCGACTGCCTTCTTCATGAAGTCGCATGCTTTCGGAGAGGACCTGCAGCGCAAGTCCTTTCCTGCACGCACAGCGAGGCTGACGCTGGCACACGAATACTGCTTCGTGCGTTGGAAGCTGAAGCTTGCATGTGCCAGCTGCAATGACGAGCGTTCACTGAATATAGCGTCGGTGGACAACGAAAGAACCATGCACTACAAAACAGACCCTACAGAATGCTAGGCTTCTGCCATGCTGGCCGCCGATCTACTATCTGAACTCCTAAGCGCGGGGCCCAGGGCGTGGACACCACCGCTGCCACCGCCAGTGCCACCTCGACGTTGACTCTTGTCATTTCTTGTCCCTCGACAGGTGCAATCCATGCCCAGAAGCTACGCAGCAGCAAGGCAGGCAAGCGCCAGAGCAAGTTTGTTTTTTCCACTGTCCAGTGGATCAAGCAATAATCAGTAGTGTCCAGGTCTCGACGAGTCCAAGAGTCCTGTAAGTCGTCAAGTTGGTCGGTGTTGGGGCAGAGCTTCACTAAACATGCTGTACCGTACTTGCAACTCCATGTAACCCCTCACAGCTTTGATCACTTTGATCTCCTTTTGCTGCGAGAGGACATTGGTCGCTTCCTGTTGCAGAGCACGGCATGGAAGCAGAGCGCAGCGCGGTTGAGCCAGCTTCAGGCAGCGGCCAAAATGCTGCCTGGCTGGACAGCCCTGATTAACGCCCCGTGCAAGCCAGGACAGCTATGTCTACCCGTGCGACGCATTTCGAGAATTCTTGGAGCAACTTGGGCATATCAATATCAGACAGTGTCTTACTGAATGATAGGCCGATAGGGACCGATCGGAGCTTCATCCCCGCTGCAGGTTGGGCGACTGCAAGGCGCCCTTATTGTGACAACTTCAGTGGTAACAGTGCGACTTAGGGCGACTTGCGGGGTGCACATGCTTGAGCATCTTACAGGCTGATACTGCAAACTCCTTCCTGCACACGCTCATCACGAAGCCACTTGGAAACACAGCGTGCTGAAGCCGCTTTGATTTGGTGGTGTGCCATACTTGGGGACCGTATCTGCTGAGCCGCCGCAGAGGAGAGCTGGGTTGCATGCGCATGGAAGGGTAGAGAGACCCTTAGCAGGTAGTTACAGTTGCAGCCACCAAGGGGCAACATGCCCCCGTCTGAGTCTCAGCTGGTGACTCATCCAGGCGGGGGAGAGACATCAGCAACGCACTTCGTGTGTGATGAGTTCAAAGCAGATCCGACAATAATTTATGACAGTGTTTCTTGAGGACCATTCGGCTATTTCGGCGAAATGCTGCGCAACCGGACAGCACAAGACTGCATGTACTCTCGGCGAGCTGCTTTCCATTTTCCGCAATACTTCGCGGATCAGTTGTCAGTTGGCCATTGTTCTAGAGATGAGTTGAGAACTGTGCTGTCCAGCAAAAAAGCCAAAGGGCTTCGTGCGCACTGCAGGTCGCACTGGTAGATCGCAGCAGTTGTAGCAAGCGTAGCATTGCAAGAGGTATAGCTGCAAACTTTGATGATGATGCTTGGCACTGCAAGTATTGCCAGAGCCCAGCGTCGAACAGTCGGACATTGCACCACCGCCTGCGTGCAATCAGTGCATGTGCTTTTCTTGCTTAACATCGCGCCCTTCCATTCGGAGATTAGCTTTGGAAGTCACTGCTGCGGCTTTATGGGTACGGACTGCCGTACCTCTCAGAAATCCGAATTGTTACCAAGGATGGTGTCCAGACGGGATGCCGGCTCGTTGTCGAAGGGCGTCCGGATGTCCTCGTGCGCTTCAGTCAGCGAGGGCTGAACACGGCCGGGTTGGGCTGCAGTGCACATACCGTTTGGTTGTCAGTTTCAGGAGAGGAGTGAGTGATGCGAGATGTTCTGCACATCACGGTGTGGGGTTCTATTTTGGTAGGGGACCGCCCTTAGTTCTCTTCCTTCTCCTTCACACTCCTCGCTCCTCACTCCAAACTATTCGCCACTCCCCACTCTGCACTTCTCATCCTCCGCCTCTTGCGGCACTCTTGCGTCTCCGGCGAGGCATGCGGGGTTGTCAGGCCCGGGCCCTCTATCTTTGAATGGCCGCATGAGCACCTCTTGAGAATGAAAAGACTTCTGGGCCGGGGAATCAATGACGGCTTTACAGTAGCACTGTGACGAGGGGGTCGCATCATTCGCATGTGCTGACGGCACATTTCAGTCATTCGTGCTGTCGATGCACTGCAAATGCTGGGGCCGTAGCTTCATCTACCCAAGGGCCCAAGGACCTCTCATAATCGGCTGCAGACCGAAACTTATCGGCCCTAAAGCCTTTGTCCCTGGACCTCTCTTCTCAAACAAGGAAGAAAGCGGCGGTGGCAGTTTGTTAGAGAGCCGGGGATGAGTGACTGGGTAGTACCATAGCCCCAACATTGTGAAAGCTGCGCTGGCACTGCTTTCGCAGCTTCGGCTTCGGGTGTCTGGAACCTGGTGAAGCCGGTGGTTTGCTGGGAAGCTTCGTTGTTTATAAGTTTGTCAGCTTTGCGACTATCATGTCTTTCTGCCAGTGAGGTATTAGGTGGTGGGAGAGGGACCCTTGCCCCCCGGGGAACTATTCCTCGCTGTATACGATCTCCTTTTGGCGTGTTAGCACAAACCTCACGAAGAATGCAGCAAATGCCGGGGAGTGGCATGCTGGAAGTCGGCTGTTTTGGGGTTTTGCATTTCCATCAAGGGATTCCAAGATGTAGGTCGCGGGGCAGGGGCGGTATCAAAAAGCTCTCCACTGAACATGGTCACTGAGTTTGCAGCATGCAAAGATCGGTCGTATTTGTAATCTTAGTAGTAATGAATGCACATTGTGCGAATTCATGCGCGTGCGATGCTTGAATGCTCCAGACGATGATGGCCATCTGGTGCGCTGTTGGGACCAAAACTTGTGTGGGCTGGCTTCAGCGAATGCTCTACCTGGGCGGCGACACAGACACGATCGGTGCTGTGGCAGGCCACTGCCAACAACCATGTGCGACCAACAACCACGTGCAATCAGGCTTGGTTCCTTCCTTGTGTGGCCGTGCATCAAGTTGACAGGTCAAATTGCTTGTCCCCTCCTTGAGCTCGGTGATGTCATGAATGCCTACCAGAGACTTGAACAAACTTAGAGGCTGCGAGCCTGCACGACTGCTGTTTCAACAAGGAACAAAAGAGGAGAAGGAGGAAGGGTTCCAGCTTGGGACCCGCCTCAAACTAGCCGCAGAACAAAGAGAACAGGAACTGAATGGAACTGAATGAGCTTGCTGCAGAAGCCGGGCAGCGGGGCTGCTCCCCTAAGGCAGGCTGTTGCTCTGGACGGGCTGCAAGGCCAAGCTGCAGCTGTTGCCAACGCTGCAGCACGGCGATTCGTCTACAGGCAGCTTGGGGCCTTTTTTTTTGGTTGCAAGAATACCACCCATTCCAATTCGTTGTGCCAAATTAGGGTCTGCCCAAGAATCTCGGAGAAGCTTGATTAGCTGCTATGTCGTCAGCTGGAGTCGGCCGGACTTTGGGCACTACGTCATTGCCAGTGATACTCATGGCACAACATGAACAGACAATTTGCAGAAAGCTGGACCTCCTTGCAGCATGTCTTAGCCCGAAGGCCTAGGACGGCTGTTTTTGTCAGAACATGATCTGCACATTTTTTCAGATGTGGCGAGAATTCAAATCTACGAAGGTCCTTGCTTTTTGTTCGTGCAAGCTGGTCGCAGCTTCTTCAGAGCCCTCGGCTAGTTGATGCAAAGTACGTTTCTTGGAAGCAGTTCAGTAGGAGTTGCGTGCATGTGCGCCTTGCTGCCGCATCGGCAGCAGGGGGTCATTTTGCTCGAAGGATGGGCTTACAACACCTGATGGCATGCGGCTTGCCGGACACACACGGACTTCTTGCAGATTCGGAGGCAGTGCTGGGTGCGCGTACGTGCGAGAGGGATTTATGTAGTTCAGTCGAGCCTGTCAGGTACCTGAGCATCCTCCTGAAACACACCGGTTAAAAGTCTGCTGCTGCCGCCGGTTGAATTGCCTAAGGGTTTCCTTCCAGGAAAATGCTATGATCGGAAGCGCCAGCACCGTTCGCAGCAACTCGTGCGTTCATAGCATCAACACATCAGTACATCGTCAAGTGTATTTTCAGGTCTGCTGTGTGTGTGTGTGTGAGGTTTCAATACTAGCTGATTACTAAGGTACGCACACCCCGGTGATGGAGATTGGCAGCGAGTGCCTTGCCGCTACGAAAGCCGCTGTCGCAGCCGAGCAGACACAGGACCGATATCTGCATCGTACTGTGCTGTGGGCTTGTGGGCCACCTCAGCTCTCACCCTCAGAGTAGCGTCAGCATGCAGACTGTGTATGCCACCTTGCCAGGCCATCTGCTCCTTGGCAGAAGCAGAATCTGGTGAGGTTTTTGACAGGGCCAGTTGGGAACAGCCCCACAAAAATAGAGGCAGCGTCAGAAGGATGCACAGTGTCAGTTCGGCTGCGGTACAGGCATGTGACATTTGTCTCTCCATGACTTTCCAAATGCCCACTTTTGCTTCCCAGCCATTTTATCGCTACGTGGCCCTCCTCGGCCGCGAGGGGATGAACAGGAACAGGGTTGATCGTGAAGAAATTGCTCACCAGCGTCGCTGTCACAGATTTGATGTGAGATGTTTCTATGCCAGTTGATATCCTCCGCCTGCGGCTCCTTGTGTCCCCGTATCCGAAAAGGGTGCTTTCAAGCATCGTGATAAAGAAATTGCAGTATAGGTCCCTTTGGCTTGCTATGGCTAGAGTCTGGGATGTCAGCCATCGTAAGGCATCCAGACATTGCTCAAGGGTCCAAAGGGCCCTAGATTATGTAGAATGACTCCAGGGAGGGGTCCGGGGGATCTAAGGGACTGACAGTACGAGCACGACTTTAGCCCAACACGCTTCCCGATTTTGATTTCATGCTGTTGGGGCCCTTTGTGCAAGGCTGGAGTTCAGCCACCCGGGGGACCATGACTGGCAAGCTCCGGCCAGCATGAACAGGAACTATGTTGCGTGACCATTTGGAGCACGAAGACGAAGATGGGCTAAAGAGCCAGGACCCAGATGACTTCGGTCTACAGTTGCTTTGGCAGAGCTCTGGCCATACGTTGTACAGATTCTGGCTAGTTCTCTATCTGTCCAGCGGCGATAGCTTCACTTTAAGATGGATGCTTGTGTTGGTCCAATTCACTTTCCATGGATTCTGCGACCGCCTGTCATTCTGCATGAACGGTAGCGAGAATGTGTTGCTCGTGAACAGCGTGGAACGGAGTCCAAGTAGAGTCCAGAATCCATCAATCCAGAAGCAAACAGTGATCTCAAGCAACGAAGCGATCAGACTGCGCGTGCCCAATCTTCTGCACCTCTGAATGCAAAGCATCAAAGGTGCGAGACCAGTACTTTCAGCCAGGTGCACTGGTTGCCGCGTGCCACTCAAGAGAAAAGTGCGAGGCCACTGTGGAGGCGTGTGTCGTGCGGAGGAGCAGGTTGATGTGGATATAAACTGTCTTTTCGGCCCTGTGCTAATCGACTAAGGTTGGTGAGGCCGCAAATTCTGACTCCGACGAAGAAGAGGAGCGCCATCATGCAGATTCGTGGGGCTTCGGGCCACATTTCAGCCTGCAGCTTTCGGGCAATCCAAGACTCTCAGCCGACCCTCAAACCTGATTCCTCGACACCGCACGTCCATGCCAAGCCACAACCCTTACCTCCAAAAACTCTTGAGCGCGGTTGGTCCTGCATGATCCCGGTCGTGACATGTTGGGCCTCTAGATTCGTGGCCGTCGGCGCGGCTCACTTCCTGCGAAACCCGGTTGAAAGCCAAACTCGCCAAGGACGAGATCACGCGTAAGGACCGTGAGATGACAAAGCGCCGTCTGCGCGAGCTGGGACAGTGCAAGACCCAGCAAGCGTTGTGCTCCCTTGGTTTGGAGATGTCTAGAATCCAGAATGTTCGCCTGAGCTATAGAAACATAGGCTTTGATTCCTCAAAGAGGCCAGCAGTAGCGCAGAGACTAGGCAAGGCAAACTCAATCATGAGGCCGGCCACCTTCTTCGCCGAAACAGATGCGCAGCGATGGCGGAGGCAACCTGGGATCACTAGTTTGAGGTCGTTAGTTCGGCCATTTCTGTGCACTTATGCCGGTTCGAACGTCGTGTTGGCCCACAGCGATGACTCCTACCTGCAGATCTTTGGGGTTCAATGGGGTCGCACGCACTCAACGAGGGTACCACGCACAAGCCAGAAGAGGCCATCATGATTCGGCAGGGAGGTTGGAGATCACGCAGCAGCATCTGCTTCTGGATAGTTCTGCCTACGACACATGTATACCGTAGGGACATCTTGGGTTTGTTCTCGTCATTGACATGGTTCGCCGTCTTTTCTGTTCACAGGTTGCAGAGCTGCGAGTTGTCTCGGGACCAGGCTATCCGCTCACGTGCCGACTTTGATCCGATGTTTCCCTATTTCCTACCTTACTGTAAGCTGTGAACTCAAGATGCATCTATGTATGCCTCATGCCAGCCCTCACGATGCCCGCCAAACCTGCCGTAGTAGCATCGTGCTGGGGTGGGGCATGGAAAAAAGTGCTGCTGCCAGGATGTATTGGCTGACGGATCTACCAATGCTTCGTGCTAAGTCCGGCCAAAGTTGTCTAAGTCAAGATCCTCTGTGGAAGCTTGCCTAGTTCGTTGCATTGCTAGCACATGTCTGGGCGCCATGTGCTCCACTGCGTAAGGTCATGCAAATCCTGGATCGACGACAGCAGCGGGAGCGAGAGGCAATTGTTGCTGAAGTACGCAAGCATCAGCTGCTAAGCAGTTTTCCCGAGCATGTGCACTTGCCACCAGCAGTTGCAACAACAACAGCAGCAACAGCAGCAGCAACAGCAGCAACAACAACAACAACAACAACAACAACAACAACAACAACAACAGATCGCCCAAGCAGTGCTATGGGAAGACTTTTTCAAGCAAGTGGCAGCAAGCCCGTTGAAGGCTGCAGGCGGAATCAGACAAGGCCTCGACATCGTTGATGCAGAGGACTGCCATGCGCCTTGTGAAGCCTGCGAGTCTTCCGTACGAGCAGACGTCCGCAAGCACGGGTTGGTTGTCAAGATTGGAACGTTGGAACCAAAAGGGATGTGGCAGTGTGCCCCCCCCCCCCCTTCCGGACCATTCGATGGGCGGTGGCGGGGCGGGGGACTGGTGCAGAAAAGGGAGGAGTACTGAAAACATGTGGCGTGCATGCCGGCATCAGGGGCATTTTCTCGCCAGTGGGTGATGTTTTCGGGCTTAACATTTTGTGCCGACCATATCACAGCCTACACATGCCACATTGGACTTCTCGAATTTAATCAGATACAAGAGCCTGCGCGCTAACCTCCCCAAACTGCAAGATTCTGCGTGAACTAAGCCTGGAAATATCTCAGAGATCAGCCCGTTGCCTTGCTAGTTAAGCCTTGGCAGCTGGAAAACCTTATTTCGGTGGGCCTGTGGATGATACTTGCCGCATGCATTGGATGCCCGTGTATTCCTGCGTACGTTGTTCGCATGCAGGCTTAAGGTTACCTTGAACCATTGCCGCAACATGCTTGCATGCATTCACTGCATCCCCGCGAAGGACGCTGAGTTTGCCACCATCGAAGGCACTGTTATGCGACACGCCCTGGGCTCAATCGGCACAGTACTGTGTCGGCACATGCCTGGTAAATTCCCTCACCTGTGCCTTTTAGCCTGAGATGAGTCAGTTGCCCATGCGCTGCCCATACGTAGAGGGCCATCGGTTGTCGGAGAGCGGAGCGCGCTGTAGTGCAGGATGCATGGCGAGTTGCTTCACCGGCACGATGCTAATAGCTGCTAACACAATGTGGGGCTCGGTGCGAAGTTTAGAAAAGGATGCAGCCAAGGAGCCCAACGACCAGGATAGTGATTCTGAGGATGATGGCGCGGAGCCAAGAACTAGTCTTGGGCACCACTTGCCGCCTTTTTCAGCACTCATTTTGTTTGGCTATGGATGGCTGCTGTACGATTTTTTCCCGAGGTCCCAAGCTCACCGCCATCCTTGGATCAGAGCCCGACGAACGAGATAAGGAGCAAGAAGAGGAGTGCCCGTGAAAGCCATCTCACGTATGTTACATTACTATGCGGAAGAAGAAAGTGCTGGTCGAGTCTTGAACCAATCTGCAGTTGTCGCTGGATACAGTATCTACGTCGATCGGCGGAGGCGCAGCGGAAGCTCGATGCAGCTGCTCACGCGGTAATGAGCTGGATCCGCTCGATGCCCCGCACCTGATCATTCACACGCTTTCTCTTGCTCCAGGGAGAGGCAAAGGGAGGGAGAGAAAGACAGAGAGAGGGAGAGAGAGAGAGATAGAGCGGGAGAGTGCAGTGTCACCCGGACTCGATGCGGACTGGGCGCGCCTAGCGCGCGGGGGGGGGGGGGGTGGGGGGGGGGGGGTGGGGGGGGGGGGTGGGGGGGGGGGTGGGGGGGGTCGGGGGGGGGTGGGGGAGGGGGGTGGGGGGGGGGGGGGGGGTGGGGGGGGGGGTGGGGGGGGTGGGGGTCCCCTCAAGCCGCAAGCCCCGAAGAAGAAGAAGAAGAAGAAGAAGAAGAAGAAGAAGAAGAAGAAGAAGAAGAAGAAGAAGAAGAAGAAGGTGAAGAAGAAGAAGAAGAAGACGAAGACGAAGACGAAGAAGAAGAGAGGGAGAGAGAAAGAGTTCCGGCGTGGTGCAGACCGGGGTGCGCCTTGGCACGGCGGGCTTCCCCCCCAACCCCAGAAAGAATGAAAGAAAGAAAAAAAAACAAATTGTGAGAGAGAAAATAGTGAGAAGAGTGAGAGAGTGTGAGAGAGTGATAGACACTGAGAGAGAGTGAGAGGGTGAGAGACAGTGAGAGAGTCAGAGAGTCAGAGAGAGTGAGACAGTGAGAGAGTCAGAGAGTGAGAGAGTCAGAGAGTCAGAGAGAGTGAGAGAGTGAGAGAGTGAGAGAGTGAGAGAGTGAGAGAGTGAGAGAGTGAGCACGAGGGAGGCCTCTGGGGGGCACGGGCGTCCACTGTTTCGGACAGAAGCGGTGGTGGTGAAACGATTGAGGGTTTGGAATTCGTGTTCGGGGTTAGCGGGATGTCCAGGATTGTCCAGGCACGGCCTAACAAACCCTGGCACTCATGATCCAATCAAGGCTCCGAGCATGGGAGGCGCAGCTCACCGAGAGAGCTGCTACCGAGGCTAGTGTCATGGCACGTCATGGTGTCACTGCCAGTGGTGGTCATGCAGAAGGCAATAAGAGAGGAGAAGATGGTCGGGTTCATGAGCACGCTGGCTTCGTTCTGTCATTATTTGTTTGCTTTCCTTTCCGCTTCGGGTCCAGTGTCTTTGATCACTTGCTTTGATTCTACTTCGTCTGAAGAGCGAAAGAGGAGCCACGTGGCTGCCTTCCCGCATGCTCATCCCTTTCGCAGCTGTAGACAGCACATATACACAAGTTCCAAACAGATAGAACTCCTTCAGCTGCAAGCCCTCAAGGCAGCAACATGGGCCCATTAAGTTATAATCATCCCTTATCAAATCTTGACAATGGAGCCCCAGCTTCGGCGACAGCTGCAAAGATGGAGTTCAACACTTAGCATGCAGCGTGCCAGTGCAGCGCAACAGCGTTGGCCGGTTCTAGTGTGGTTCGCGCCAGCAAGTGCGCGCCGAATGGTCTCTCCGCCTGGGCGATGACAGGTGCCACGGCTCCAGTAAAGTATTAGTTTTATCAGCTACTTGGCTAGGTGTCGCAGAGGGTAGCATGGGTAGCTTGGCTGACAACATCAGCCGCCCTCTCCGACTAGTCATGAATCCGTGGCGTGCTCGCGATTGCGCCATATTGCGCCCTTCCTGTGGCCTGGGGAGCCTGGGAGGGTGCAGTTCTCTTGGGGCATTCTAAGCAGGTGATGTGCATGCAACAATAGCAAAATCCGCTGCAATCTAATCTAAGTTTTCGTGCCCCCACAAGGTGCACCAGCACGACTTCATCTCCTGCTTACAGTTGGGCTTAACCTGCCGAGTTGCTCGGTGGATACGGTAGCCTGGTTACTGGAGCAGCTTGCTTGCTCCAGCCGCATAAGGTTTGGCCTACCAGCTGCTGCAGCCGATCAGCACAAACTCGCCAAATCCAGAAATTTTCCCGCATGTCTCAGGACATGTGTTGCTTGGTCCAAGGCATGAAACACGCAAGGTTTGCTGGCGTTGAATCAATGCCTTGCCCGCCACCATCATATGTCGCCATGCCAGTCTGAGCCTCTGCAGGCTTCAGCCGGTGAACACCGCCGTGCACGGGCCCAAAAACACAAATAAGTTTTGGGCGAATTGGAACCATGGCTGAGCCACAATCTCGACAAGCGAATGTGTGACTCATGACGCTTTGTACATCTTTGTACGTTGCGCCCGCAGTTCCGATGCAGCTCGTAGTCTTTGCAAGGATCGTCTCCGACCCTACGGCTTCTCGGCTTCTCAATGAGGCAAGAGAGTGAGTCGAAATCCTCAACTGCCACGAAGCCTTCATGCAGACGTATGCAGACCTTTTGCACACTGTTGCGCCACCAAGGCCGGCGACGGAACGTTGCATGCCATTTACCCGATGCCTTATGCGCTCAAACTGGGAAGCAGGAATGAGCGACTTGGCATCCGCAGCCCGGTCTGTTTTTGATGCAGGTCTTCTGTCAGCACTCCGCTCAGCTTAGGTTAAAGGCCTCGCACAACATGGAACCGATGGTTTGGTATCAGGACCATCGGCGAGCTTGAGCGATACAGTATGTTACAGTGTTCTGTATGATTTCACTATGGTTTTTTGTATCTGGCCTTCTCATGACGACTCATCTCCATGGTCGCATGACGGTTTCACGAGACCAACAGGATGGTATGTTAAAGTACCGTGATGGCTCCCGCATCGAACTCTATCAGACGTCCTTTGTCGGGGAGTTCGCCTTCGGTGCAGCAGAGCTTGCAGGTCAGCCATCGGGCAAATGGCACAAGCAAGTTATTCTTGATGAGTGATCGCAGCATTCAAGGTACGCGCTCCAGCTTTGAGATAATCACGGAAGGCAGGAATTTGTTCCTGACAGTCGAGTTGTAGACCACGTCGCTGTGTAGTGCGGTGCAGCCGAAGTTCGTTCATGCAGGTCTTTTTGGTGTCCATGTCAACGTTAGATTAGCTGCCGGCCAAGATGCCGGTCAAGTCTTGATGATGTATCCCATTTACAGAGACTCGCCCGCACACGGATCTGATGGTGCACGGCTCGGACTGTTTTGCAGCTCTGGACACAAAGCACGTCGCTCGGACATGTCTCGTGCCGAAGGTGGCATGGCCTTCGTTTCAGCCAGATACTATGCCGCGACTCCCCACCTGACGACGGAAGCTTGCTCTCCATTTACCTACTAAGAGCCTCCCTTACCCGTTAACCGACTGGCATTGAATGCGCGGGTTGCAGTACATGATAGTACATGTACATGTGCCAGCATGTGCCCTGAATTCCCTCGGATCCTTTCTGCGACATGCTGGCAATATTCAGACACTCCCTTCATGTGCCGTGGCTCAGTCGGAGGTTCATCGTCGAATGCTTAACTGTTAAACTGAGGAGAGGATGAGCTTTGGGAGCTTGCGTCCTTTCAATGATCTGCAGAAAGTCCGGAATGGTGTCTGGAGCGTCACGACAGGAACTCCGACTCAATGTCCAACATCTTGTGCAGCAAACAATAAAGGCCTTTGTTCCCTGTGTGTCCGTCAGTACGGATGCCTGTGAGGCCATCACCCTCTCTCAAAAGCTCCGGCTCAATTGCGTCTGTACGCACTGACACAAGACCTGGACTTTGTGGACAGTTCGTTCGAGCTCACAATAGCATGCCAGGGCAGTTGCATTTCGATGAACAAGCCGTTGAATGGCTGGATGCGTGGCGCTCACGTGGTGGCAAGTCATGACGTGGATGTGCTGGATGCCCACGCTGCAGCCATCCTTGTAGGGTGGGATGTTCAGGAGCCTAGGCTGCGAATATGCAGCGGTGCAACCGAGTACTCATTGGAGCTGCATATCGCAGGCATTCCTAGACATCTACTGCAAGGGCGTGCTGAATGCAGCAACCTCAGGTTGAATCTGGTGGTGTCGTGCAATACAAGTTTGAAACCGCCACTCCGCCGTCTGGCCCGCCGTCCGGCCCACAGCTGCTTCACTGGGCTTACGCTCCACGGCAAGCGGAGGTCTGGAGTTCTGGCTGGGGCTTCCGATGGGATGACTAAGCTTTACGGGTGCTTTTGGCTTCTGGCGCCAGGTGGCGCTCCATGAGCTGCTGCTTCTTAGAAATCATCAAGATCTAGCCAAGGCTCATCACGTGAAGATGCTGCAGCCAGACAGGGGCAAAACCAGCGTGGCGACGGGGCTCACTGCAAGAGCTCTGGCTTCAAGCTGAAAGCCAGGAATCTTCAGCAGCTTCAAGCTCTCCTAGGATCTCCTTCCACCTGACGCTGAGGTCCCGCGCCAACAAAGGGGCCCATGCAAGGTATCGTCGGCAATAGTTGGTTCCTGCAGGCGCCACTGTACAATGAGAGCCTTGGGACAGATGACTGGGAAGTAAGTTCGCCACGACGTCGCTGAGGCTGAGTCGTCTAGGAATGTAGAAGGTAGGGCTATGGAGAAAGGGCAAGCAATGTTGCAAGTTATTCAACCCTGATGCCCTAGCTGCCCAGCCTCAAAGGACGTCTTCGTTGGAATTCTTGCCTGGGGCAAACTTGACCGACCAACGCAGAAGGCTGTTGATCAACGAGACTCGCGATGCACTGCGCTGGTTCAGCCAGCCCTTGCATGAGACAAATCCTGCCGATCCACCGAACTGGCGCCACTCCATGTTTAAGCAGCTTGCCCTGTGACGCTTGATCGCTTGTTGCAAAAATCATATAAATGGTTACCAGCGATAGGAAGAATAGTAGCAGGACAAAGTCCTAGGTCAGCACTTCTCGGTTTCCGCTGGGGTTGTCCGGATGGGCAGGGTTTGGGGGGTGGGGGGGGGGGGGGTGGCATATACCATTGAGCATTTCGAACACTGAGTTTTCAGCATTCTTCCTTTGGCAAATGTACTTGCGAATGGACGGTCCCAAGCAAACATGAGACTTGCTTGGTCCGTGACGTCCAAAAGCAAGAAGAAGCTACGGTGAATTCGGCATGTCTACTTGCGAATGGAAGTTGTTAACCCCGCTTCGAGAAGACGTATAACAAACCACGCTGATTTGAAGATGCATTATTGCTACAAACGCGATTTTCCAAAAACGGTGATAGACGCTGCTAGCGGGTGCTTCGTCGTAGTCAGGGGCCCTGGAGTTTCAGGGTGGTCCAGGACCCATTGCCAGGCCACGTCTGAGTCAACGAAAGCACAGCAAACGTTCAGAGCTTCATGCTGCTCCTTGTTAGATGCTTCTAGACCGAATAGTTCGTCGGAAAGGGACACCCTTAAAAGCGGTTTCAAGCCGCTCAACTACCATAGAATTTCGATGAAGGAATGGGTCTTCGAGGCTGTTCTTCCTCATAGCTCCCTGCAGAATGTCCCCTGCCGCACCCATGTCTTTTATAGCAAGCAGCTGAAGACAACGAGTGGGCATGTGGCAGCTCAAGCTCACAGAGGTCGGATTTTTACTTCAGTGGCAAAGGCTTTCAGAAGGCGTGCTTGCCGGCACTTGTTGACAGATTGATTCTTCAGACAACTTGACCAGAACACGCCTGCGATCAGAACAGTCCCTGCCAGGTGGGCATGGTTTGCCTGTTGGCGGAGCAGCTGCTGACAAAGCAGGAAGTAGATATGTGTGTGGGCTGGTTGGCCACTGGGTTCGAGTGCCATACTCAGTGTCAGTTGCGGTGGGCGTGACCGCAGCTTTCTAGGAACCAGCTGTCGCCGTTTAGCGCCTGAAAAACGTTGCCAGGTGCATCCTGAACCGGTCCAAAGGCGAACCTGCATCTCCGTCTTGTGTGGCTTGGGACGCGAAAGCCGACAGTGCTCGATTTGCGAAGAAGTGGTAGCGCTTAATTGGCCTCATGAATGGTGATTTTGAGGTGGGGGCGCCAGGAGGCCTGTACTATGACGAAGTTTGGGGAGGCTTGCCCAGCCGCGTGGGCTATAACCAGCCCTCGCATGCAAACCCTGCTGCGTGGAGTGCAACAGAAAGTTTTTCGAAGTAGCGTCCAAAAGAAGGTCGATGTAGGAG